TACTTGCATGCTTTGAACCTATATGTCCAGGCATAGGTCGAGATAATACCTTCGGATTTTTCAACCCGGTTTCCCTGTCAGTGATTCAGGTAAGAGGGGCTGACATGGAAAAAGTCGTTCGAATGGGACAATAAACCGAGGCCCTGTGTGCTACAGGTTGTGCGCATTAAAGATCCCTCGACAGTTGGAAATCGAAAAAGAGCAGGCTTATGCTGCTGTCCTGGCAAAATTTCCCTCATTGCACCCTGCATGGCGTTGCCGTCTTCATTAGCCCACATGGTGCAGAAAAGTAGGTCGTAAAACTCTATTCATTTCATTTTCTTTTAACCTATATTTCAAACTTCAACATATACCAGCGTGTTTCAGCATACTTTCAACTTAAACAAAACTTATCCATAACTTATTTGACTTTTGCAAATGTTGGCAATGCACTAGACAAATTGTCATGGTGTGACAGCATTTTAGAGGAAACTGGTATATCATATTATCATTTTGTGAATATACTTGTTATTTTATGTATTAACTTTGACCAGAAATGGTGCAAAATGTTGCGAATAAAGATTATTATATTGTTCTATATAAGTTTATACTACCTTGTTGTGAACACATCAAGAAAAAAATTGTTCAAAACATGCCAGCGTTTTAAGGAAAATTTTCTACAATGTCTTACGCTGGCTAATCATTAGGGTGTGACGACAGGGCCATTACAAAGAACATTAGATTAGAAATTAAAATAAATTGTTTTGTAAATTAGCAATTGAAATATGTGAGACTCATTCAATTTGACTAAAAAAAATGTAAAAAAGGTTTTCGATGTCTTCAAAAAGACTTAAATATGTCATATATAGACTATTACCACACTTACCTTTCTAGTGATGACTGTAATTTTAGGTACAGTAGCTTCAGCGTAGGCAAATAATAATTTGGCCCCATGTCTTATTATACCACCATATTCTTGATTGGTACCTGAAGTATATATATATATTATATAATGAACTACAATATTACTACTATTTAGAGACTGCCAACAAATCTAGCTCAAAGACTGCTCCAAGCAATAAGCTAAAAAAAACAGCGAAACTGAATATAGCAAACAGATATCTTAAATTATTCACTGTAGAACAAGCAAGTAAGATAGTCCATGTCCACTATGACAGTCTGTAAAAGAAATTCCTCCATGTCTATGAGAAGTAAGATGCTAGTTGCATATTCTAAAACCAGAACTTAATGACCACAGTCAGCCAAAACCAATCAGTAAATACACATTTAACCTTTCTTCCAAATTAAGGGGGAAAAAACAAGGAATAACAAAAATTTCAAAGGGAAATTCCAATGTATTTTGGTTAAATATACCTCAATCTAAGAATTTCACTGTCTATTTCTATATATGTGTTTTGTATATTTAGCATAGTCTGACTAAAATTTGAGTTGAATTTTTAACTTTCCAAGGTGAATAATTGTGGATACACATGGATTTGAAGGCTAGAATTTTGACAATGAGCTGATTATGTAAGCTAAGAAAATTCCTGTTTCTGAAACTAAGGTTTGATTGGTCAAATGGCTAGTGAAGGTGCTCCTTTAAACATATATAATAGTGGTGTACTTAATTTTCTAAAATCAAAAATGTGAGGTAAAAACCCAAAAACCCAATTAAATTTGATCTGTACCAAGAAACTGTTCTATTAATTCAAATATTATTCAAGATGAACATTCACATCTGCACATAGCAAGAAAAAAAACCTGACATGATAAAGTTTCTAATGCAATAGGCAGAATCCCTCCTATGAAAACACAAAGACTTAAAAAAATAAACCCTGAAACTTAATATCTGATTAAAATTGAGAAATGTTTTACAGCCAATTTGAACACGAAACCTTATTTATAAAAATGTAGTTTAAAGACAGCTGTGAACAGCATCCTTTTAGAATCTATCAAAATCTTAAAATGTTTGAGAAGAAAAATCTTTTGAAAAAGAGGTTTACATTCTACTAAACGATCACTGTAAAATGAAATAAATGGAGTTTTACTTCTGTGGTTCACTATATCCTCAACAATGATATGAAAATGAGAAATGTTTTACCACAAATTGTGAATTTGAGAAAGAAATTGAGCTTTTAGTCTGCAACTTTTTCAACTTACCAGGCAAGAAGCCAGGAACATCAACAAATGTTATAATAGGAATATTGAAAGCATCACAGAATCTTACAAATCTAGCACCTTTCACTGAAGCATTGATATCAAGACAGCCTGAAAATAGATTAACAGAGTTTACTGACAATTCATTCCTCAATAAGATTACGCTACAGTTCATTATGTCATGTCAATTTTCTTTTTTATTCTTCCACATTTTTCATTGATAGATTGTTAGATCAATGTTCAATGACCTCTCTGTTAAGCATCTAATAAAAACAACATTTATTGAAAAACTTTTAAGCTGAATGCAGATTGCCTTGTGTCAATTGATTAGTCATTATATAATATTAAAATGGAGAGGCCAGCTTAGTGTGCACACAATTTACAGAAAATGCTTTTTCTTTCTATCTAATAATATAATTTAAAAAAATAAAATGAATGGAGTTTTACGTCCTACTTTTCTGCACCATGTGGGCTAATGAAGACGGGCAATGCCATGCAGGGTACAATGAGGGAAATTTTTCCAGGACAGTGGCATTAGCCTGCTCTCTTTTTCAATTTCCAACTGTCGAAGGATCTTTAACGTGCACAGCCTGTAGCACACAGGGCCTCGTTTATTATCCCATCTGAACGACTAGATGCTTTTTCCATATCAGCCCCTTTTATCTACATCACTGACTAGGGTAAGAATATAATTCACAAGATAAACTAAGATTTTCCAATTGAGACAGATGGACTCATGTCTAGTCTATCTTGTTAATTTTGTCAGATTTTGAATTTATTGATTGCAATTCAGATATATATTTGTAATTGATCATTGCACACAATATTTCTATTCTGAATATATTGCTTAGATGGCATACAATTAGATTTTATATGATAAGAAAAATATTCCAGGACTTCTCTTTTCCCCCTTCAATGAAACATACCTGCAGCTACTTTTGGTTGATTACCCACAATGCCAACAGTTTTACCATTCATTCTACCGAAACCAACTACTATATTTTTAGCATAATTGGGCATAATTTCAAAAAAATCATCTTCATCCACTACCTAAAATAAAATCAAGAAAACTGACTGAAGACTCTAATTCTTATTTTTTTATTGAAGCAAATATCAACTTGCTTTGACGGCTGATTATCAGTATGTGGTACAAATTAAATCACCTTAAATAAATTACCATCAACATAACCGAGTTGCATGTTTACTTGTCAATAATTCACTGATTATTGAACAGTCGAATCTCAGTAGAGTGTCTAGAAAACATCAGGTGATGGGGCCACAAAATAGTTCAAGGGGGCACAGGCCATTCTTTCACTATGTAAAATAAATAACAAATTTGAAAGTGGGGGCCAAAGTCTGGTAGGACTCTTTTCTGGGGGAGCCATGTTCAGTGACGTCACATAGGCTATTCATTCATATAATGTGGCCATCTTATCAATGGATGACATAATTTGCGTTATGTCTCAAAAACAAGACTTGAATAAGGTCTATATCACTATCAATAACATAATCTGATATTATATCAAAATAAAGCAATAAAATACGACTGTATCCAGTGACAGAAGAATGATATTGTAGACTATATACTTACCCCATTTATAACATCTTTAATATCATAGGCTGATGTTGTTTCTAATGGTACAACAGAGTTTAAACCAGGTACCAATCTATTACTGTAATATAATAATCAAATAATCAAATAATCAATCTTCATATCAATTTGTATAAAAGGTTATAAAACCAACACTTCGGATGTTTTTTTGTATATTTGTTTAATGCAGGGGTTTTCTTTCTATTATCCCTTTCAGAGTCCTTACAATTTCGTGATTTCTCTTAATAGATTTTCTCTACCATCTTGTTTATGTCGGAGAATAGCCTGACTGAATAGAACAACTCAAATTATAATTGTTCAAAAATTTTATGCTAGATCACAAAGCGCCTCACTACCCCTTAAATGTCAAAATGACCCTCTTGGGGTTAATTACCCCCAGGTTGAAAGTTCCAGGTTTAGTATATGAAATATGATCAATTGCTACACCAAATATTATTATACAGTCAAGTAACCTAATTTCGTGCTAACCTATTTTTCGTGCATTTCCGGAAATAATAATTTACATGTGCCACCTCGCCTAACCTCCGCATTTGCTTGTTTTGATAAACATGGGTTTTCTCTACAATATCAGCTAGTAGAATGAATTCAGTAGTTTCAAGTAAGGTAAAAAGTATTAATGTTTACTTTGACAAATACAAAATGGCGGATTTCAGTTATTACCAAACGTAACCATTTTTATCGGCCAAATTTCCTTATAATCCCCCGCAGTAATCGGAATTCAAAGTGTCGTCTGCTAGAATGTAGTCCAACGAATGAAGTCACATGACCAACTAGCAGATTCCGTGTCAGCAGAAAATTTCTATGGAACACAAAGTGGGCCATATTCTTATGTTGTTTCAGTGACTTTTAGCAATAAATCACGCTACGTATCTTATTTTGTCAGTCACTATTTTTTTTAAAATCGTGGCTCTTTGAAGGAATTGTCACTAGTTTTTGATATTAAAGAATTGAATTGATATTAAAGATAAATACTAATGCTTGAGAAGTTAATTATACCACCCGGTATCCATACATCGTGTTTTTCTCAACTTATTTATAGATCAAACATTGCACATGTAAATAGGTTACGCTCATGAAATATGGGTCAAAGTGAGGGATTCATAAAGAAAATCGAAACAAACCAATTTTAATTATTTTGTAGAATATCTGAGGAAACATCTAAGACATAAAAAAAAAGATTTTGTTTCTTTAACTTTGACAAAATTCGGTGTTGACTCCTTATATCCACGAAAATAGGTTACACCACTGTACTTATTATAAATCTGCCACATAATATAACTCTTTTTTTTGTAATGTTTTATTGGCTACAAGATGGAACTTACGGACTATCTGTACAGTGTCTAGTTGGTGATGGTTCTTTATTACTCAAAGGCAGGAAGTTTACGAAGTCACGCAGATTGAGTAAAGCATCCACATCATTTGCAAATGCATTGTGTGCCACACCTAAAATAAGAAACCTAAATTATAACAATATTTGAAAAAAACATTATTATCCTGTTTCTATTTTTGAAGAGTTCCAGACTTCCACTGCAATCTGATTAAAATACACATGTAAATATTTATTTTACAGTTATTCTGAGAGTTATATTACTTATTTAATATATTCTTTCTATAATCTATGTTTTAACTCTATGATTAATGCTGTCATTATCTATTCTAACCAATTACAATTTGTATCAAATAGATTTAGAAAGAAACTTCTAATATAATATGTCAGTCTTAATTTCAAAAGTTTGAAAAAAATAAAGGCATTGTAAAGAGGTTTTCTAATTTTTAAAAATAAAGGCACTGTAAAGAGGTTTTCTCATTTTTAAAAATAAAGGCACTGTAAAGAGGTTTTCTAATTTTTTAAAATAAAGGCATTGTAAAGAGGTTTTCTCATTTTTTAAAATAAAGGCATTGTAAAGAGGTTTTCTCATTTTTTATTATGCGTATCAGAGACAATGATGGCATGAATTTTCAGATGTCTGTGGTTCCTAGAATTCCACTAAAACTAAGTGGTTGCCGATGTCACTAATTGTGAAATATGCTTTATTAAGGCCCTTCGTGATAAGTGATCTCATCAAACACTTAGTTTTAGTGGAATTGCTAGAATCACACCGATCTGATTGAAAATTGGAAGGTGCAAATTGACAAAGTAAAAGATCACAACAATTATTTAGATAATTATAATGCTCTGATGTAATTATTAATTGATAGTATCAGAGAGTTCATACTGTAACTAACTTACCAGAAATTGTTGTATGTGTTTTAGCTCCGCCCAGTTCTTCTTGAGTGACATCTTCATTAGTTACTGACTGAAAAATACAATTTAAACCAAAATGTAATATTCTGGTAATGAATATATTATGATAATAGTAATGATGCTTGAATATTTCGTTGAAAGTAGGAATGTAGGTATGTACACAATGTATGATGGTGATGAAGACATTTAACAGGACAGAAGATTGAATTCCAACTGATATCTATATAAAGTGTGAAAAATGAAGATAAGAGGCATGATAAGAGGCATAGTAAGCACCAGCAAACATTCTACAAGTTTTTGTACCTATCAGTGAACAGCAGGAGATAAAGTTAAGCTCTGAACACACCAATAGTCTTGGTCAGAGATTTTTGTTGCCGACTAGAATCTTGTCACCATTGGGTCGTTTTTCACCATGTTGATCATCACGTGCATGCAATTAAAAGGAAAATGAATCTGATTGCATGATGCCGGTCTGTCTTTTTTTTTCAAATCTTCAAACTTGTTTGATATTTTAAATCCTGTTGGGGACGCGATGATCTTGTCTTGGAAGCATGGGTACACACAAGGTTTTACTCAAGACTCTAATCGCTGACAAAATTTCTGACTAAGATCGCTCCTGGCCCGCACCTTTAGATTTTTTTAGAAACACTGAATCTTGGAAGTTAAAACAGACCGATCTTAAAGGACAACAACCCAAAATATTTAATGAAGTAAAAGCCTAAAGATGGGTTTCCTTATTTTTTAGCATCGAATTAAGCAAACTATTTGATTAATTGGTGTTTCAAATGAATCATGTATTCTTAATCATATCATTGTGTTCTTCTTGCATATAATTAAGAGTTTTAACCAATCAGAAACATCCATGTATGTACAGTCTGGATAAAAAAAAAGAAGACTTTTTGACCTTTCTTGATCGGTCACTCATTGGAATTCAGCTGGTAAATCTCTTCTGACTTAGCTAATTATGAATTAATAATGGACATGTTAGACAAACTGGTATTTTTCCAAGTCATTAGAACACCTCTACTTTCTATTCATATAAGTATTAGCATTTTCATTTTCATAAATAAAAATAAAGGAACCCATTTAAAGGAAAGCTTTCATATTCTAATTATTAGCTGAAAAAAGAAAATATCCATAAAAAAATGACATTTTTATTTTTTATGACCAAGGATATTGTAAAATTAACAAGTTTTCATGAGATTTCTGAATTTGTCTAGTCTTGAAGACACTTGCAAATAATTGCCATAAGAAGTTATTGATGCCAAACTTGTGGGTATATTTCTTCGTGGTCTAGACCTATTTGATAAAGGTTTGATCAACAAAATAAATAAAAAAATATAGATCTTATGATGGTGTACAGTTCTCCTTTAAAGGGACAGGTTTGTCATTTTGGTGAGGTTTATTTGAGTCTTGAATATATGTAAATAGTCTTCAGAAGTATAAGAAATGTATGAAAATCACAAAATTCCATTAAAAATACTTCAAAATAGGAATTTACTCACTATATTTCTATATATGTCATTTCTATATATCTCAAGAAATCTTAAATTGACGAGTCGTCATTTTAACATTCAAATGCAGATAATTCTAAACACACATGGACTTGAAGATTCAAATTTCGATAGTGAGCTGTGGACACTATTACTGATTAGCTCAGCTAAAAAATTCCATTTTCTAAGACTAAAGTATGATTAGTCAAAAGAATGGTTCATCTGTCCCTTTAAATAACTCATTTTATCTGATGAATTATTATAGTCCAAATGATGATCTATATTTGATGATTTCTAGATAGATCTAAAATCATAATGGGAAACACAAGATAGAACTCATCAGATGATTTGACTTTATATTTCCTAGCCAGGTGTGAAGAAGATGGTGAAATATTTAACCTATAGACGTTTTCCTTCCAGTATGGTCTGTTTCTACTATCAAACACACCGCCATGTTTTCTTAGTTAAACACATGTAGTCAGTTTAGAATATCATGGTAAATATAAGATAAAAGTATATGCCTAGTACTACCTTGAATATAAAATAATCAGTTGCCTTATTCTCAAAAACTTAACTTAAGTATTCATGTCATCTGATTGGTCGATCGCTAAAATTGATTTTAAATTTAGACTTATTATCCAAAGTTTTCAAGAATAAGGCCCTAAATGGCAATGATTTCTATATCCAAAGAAGGGGAATGACTTAAATTTTGCATGGAAAATTTAAACGTCCTTCAAATCCTTTCTTAGCACCGAACGCTTCTTGAATTTTTTACCCACTTCCAAAGTACTGACACAAGGACTGCCACAATATTATATATTTCAGAGTTCAGAGTGCTATGAATGAGGTGTTTGGAAATAGACAAGACATATCAAAACATAAGTATAAATTATAAAGCCACCACAGTACAATAGTAAACTCAATATCAATCTATTAATTGATGGACTAACATATGCTTATCCATACAATTTCAAATGTTGTAAGTGCAAAATCAAGTATTTACAGTAACAACTGTAGATACACAGCTCTAATGATCAGCACTTCGGGATAGTAAAGAGCTCCAAGTGACTTCATCGAACACTTAAATTCTGTGGAATTGCAGGAACCACAGACGTCTGATAGAAAATTGGAACATTGCAAATTGTTACCATCAGTGTCCCTAATGGACATAAAAAAATTCAGAAAACCTCTTTACAATCCCTTTAAAACTTAGTTTCATCTGTTTCAAATAATTTCATATTAAACAAGATATAAAATTTACACTGAACTACAAAATGGAAGTAACATCTTGAGTTTAAATAAGAATATAGAATATGTATTTCCCTGAAGGATATATCACACATAGCTTTATACTATAAACAAACATATCTTACTTCATATATAAATAACAAATATAGACTTTTTATTTTATACAAAGAAGAAATTGTACAAAAATTTAATTTATTTATTTTCATTCAATTTATGAGAATTGGTCAAAAAGTTTTAGAGCCACTAGATAAAACAAATAGCCTTAAATTTTTTACTGGATTATATCACCACATAATTACCCTTCTTCACAATACACTTCCTTATTGAACGTTTTACCAATCGTACTCTAGTCTCAGAAAAAGGAATTTTATAGCTAAGCTAATCAGTAATAATGTTCACAGCTCACTGTTTGAGTCTTCAAATTCATGTGTGTCCAGAATTTTCTGCGTTTGAATATTAAAAAGACAATTTGTCTTTTCTTGAGACTCTGTGATATATAGAAAAGACGTCTATAGAAATAGAAACTCCTAGTTTTAAATATTTTTGAAGGAATTATGCGATTTTTGTACATTTCTTGTACTTCTGTATACTAATTGGTGCCAAAGTGGTGCAGGCCATATCAAAATATTCATTTTTTTGGTTTTGTACGACACTGCCATTATTCAATCTCAGCTGAAGAAGGTTTGATGGGGCCTTAATTCTCACTTGCTGGAGCCTAGCCCCTGTGGACACTGACCTAATTACAGGACTGGTTTTCAGTTCAGTGGACTTCAAAAAAAGAGCTTTCACAGACCCACCCCTTAAATACACATCTGAACTAAAGAGTAGACTTATCAGCTTCATTTTACAAGAAGAAACAATTATGAATACAAAATCAACTTAACATATTAATGACATTCATATCATTGTATAAATATGTAAAAACTGTAAGAATCAACATGTTTGAGACTAGAACATTAAGTGGTATATATAGATAAAAGATATAGGTGTCACTGTACATCATGTCATGTTTCAAGACATTGTAATTTATCATCTATATGGTCTAATTAAGGACTTGGCTCATCTCTTTCCATTTTAAAACATATTTATCACCAGAAATTCATAACAGACAAGAATCCATTTCAAGATGTATGGAAACTTAACTGCCTTGAAAGATCTTCATCATTTGAGGCTCTGTAACACAGTTTTTGTTCTTTATATAGAGTCAGATGCTTTGTTACTTTGATAAAATTCAAATGGTGGTCATGAGTTTTAATCTTGGTGGGCTTGTGAAAATACCATAGCCATCTTGAAAGGACTTCATGCTTAGGGATTCTATTGCTTAGTTAGTTACAGCCTTGATTCTTTACATGACCTGATTTGTTTGGTGACTTAAAATAAATGGTGGTCATGGGTTCTCATCTTGGTGGGCTAGTGAAAATAACATAACCATCTTGAAAGATCTTCATGCTGAGGGATTCTATTGCATAGTTAGTTACAGCCTTAATTCTTTACATGACCTGATTTGCTTGATGACTTTAATCAAATGGTGGTCGTGGGTTCTAATCTTGATGGGTGAAAATACCATAGACATCTTGAAAGATCTTCATGCTGAGGAATTCTATTGTATAGTTAGTTACAGCCTTGATTCTTTACATGACCTGATTTTCTTGGTGAACAAATGGTGGTTGTGGGTTCTAATCTTGGTGGCTTGTGAAAATACCATAATTATTACCAATCCCTATCAAAACCTCAATATAACTAGTAAAGAGCTAATATATGGTTTTATGATATATTTACTATTCACTACAGGTTGTATATCTCATTATCTAGTTTAAATAGTCGAAAGTAAAAACAAAATATCACTTGAGAAAAAAAAGAAGTAAGGTTTGGTTTTGAATACAAACAATTAAATACTCTACATATATCAGTCTTCAATAACAGAGAAAAGTCATTTTTTGGAATATTTTTTTAGCTTCAAGCATGAAATCTTAGAAATTTGTTATTGAAGAAAAAAAAAACATTCAAGAAATTCAATAACAATTTTTCTGCAAAAAATATCTTCATATTTTTGCACTAGTTTTCAAATTATTTTTTATCCGATTTATTTTGAATTTTTGAGACTACACCCCAAATAAATTGTTAAGTTTCAGTGAATTACTGCTGTTCTAGACAACAACACTGATAACATTGACTGATAAAATAACTTTATTTTAAATATAACCTTCACACCATCAAAGAAATTGTTTCTAGAACCAAAGTAACTGCAGAATTCCACTCCAGCTTATCAATTGAAATTGAGAAGCTTTTATCTATTTATTGGCAGACTCAG